GCCATGCGCTGTCTTCAGCTAGTACAAACACACTGCATGCAAAGACTTGCTGAAAACCAATGGAGCTCCCAAAGGGTCTCTCTCCGATGTTCAGACAGCTTGCAGCTCGCCAGTACAGCACTGTTAAAAACAAGAAATAACACTAAGCTTACCTCCTCAGATATCAAGATTTACTCAGCCTTTCAACTCTGAAACTCTTTGCAAGTTTTTAACAAAGAGGAAGCTGCTCTATTGTCAAATCTTTGCTTCACACTTAGTGATGAGAATATTAATTTGATGTCCAAAAAAAACCAAACCAAAACAACCAAGTGCTTTCAGTGCGACTGTGATCATAATCACCAGGGGACCCCAACTTTCAGAGGCTACACCAAAAAGCACCCCTTTAAAATCATTCCCATTTAAAATAAGGGGGTGGGGGGGGGAATCTACATTTGTACAGTAATAGTAATTATTAGAAAATAGGAGAAATTAGGGAATTCCAGATTCTACCCCCCACACGCAGACTGCCATTGGGGACAGCTTCAGATATTACTACTTTAAAAAAAACAAACAAACAAACAGAAAAAGGAAGATGAAGCAATAACACAGATTGTGTGTGTTCAACTCTAACAGGCTGCAAACAGTGCAACGTTATCTGTCTTCCATGAAGCAGCTCTCTTTACCACCCAAATCTTCATTTTGGTGGATAAAACAATTACCCAAACTAATACCAGTTCTCCCAGCTGAAAAGCAGAATCTTACTGGTTTGAGAGTGGATTTTTTTGCCCCCCTGCTCTTCGTGCTGTTTTCCTGTTATTTCACTTGGCTCCATTTACTGCAGCCTTGCAAACAGATATATTGATTAGCAATGATCACTTCATGCTATTTCACAATGAAAACACAGAAAAGTGAACAGAGAATGGCATACCAATTTCCTAGATGACCTCTGAAGGTCCCTTCCAACCCAAAGCATTCTATCATTCTATGACAGTTCCCATTTTTGTGATGCCCCCAATGCCAAAATGCTTCTGCTTCTGTTTTTATTAATAGAATGCAAACACAAGGGACATTCAGGGGAAAGCGGAGGGGGAAGCAAAGCAGTTATGTTTTCCATATTTTTTTTCCCAAATATCAAATTCTAACAAGCACTTGTAAAATGGTGAACGTAGTTACTGCAGATGGAACTTTGAATTAAGTGTGTCCATGTTTTCAATGAGACAGGTCCAGAAGGCAGGCAGGCTCCTCAGAATCACAGCAACCTGAATATTCACAGCAAATCTGCATAAAAGTCTTCATCAAACCTGTGGTGTCTACGAACAGGCTATCTACAAACGCATCATTTGTCCATGGCCTCAATTACCAGAAGGGGAGGACCAGTCAATGGAACAGTCTCTTCACTACATTTCAGCA